CACACACACATATATATATTCATTCTAGAAACCACTTGTTCTAAAGACAGTATTTCTTGTCCTGTTTCCTTAGAAAACACAACAAATGTGAACTATCTGCTTCAGAATCCTTCACTCAAAACTCACATGTATAAAGTGGTTCTCAACTTTTATGTCTAAATTTAAAGCTACTCTTTCTAAAATTAAATGCTTGAACAAATACCTTCTCTATTTTCATTTAAGTCTGCTTCATGCAATTTTATAGATATCTTTACTACTTAAAATTCTCTTAAGATGATTTAAAGGAAGCAAGACATTTTTATGACTCATAAGAATACAATTTATGATTATAAACAATGTCTAACATATAGATGATTTGAATGTGCCAGGCATCACATGCATTACTTCATTTAATTCCCACAAATCAACATAAAGTAATGACTTTTTTTTTTCTTGTGGGACATATTCAACAGAAATCATCTACAGTGCATTAAAAATGACCCTAAGTTCCTTGTTACTCCTCCTACCACCAGGTGCACATCATTTTTCCACCTTTTTGAAAATAGGCTGGCTTTGTGAGTCTCTGTGGCCTTGCAGCAGCTTCCATTGCTGCTGCCCTGAGATCAACATGGAAAGTGACCTGGCTAAGAGCACAAGGACAGAGAGGCTTAGCTAACCGCCAGCACTAGACTCACTCTTGTGAGGGAACCCACTTGGACAACCTGCCTGACCTAGCAAGCAAATAGCTACAATAAAATGAGTGAGCCAATACAAGACTACTGTAAGAGGAACACGAGTGAGCCCAGCTCAGTATGCCACAAATAAGTGGCGGTTGTGTTAAGCCATTATGCTATGGAGTAATTTTACTGAGGAGCAAAAAATAAAGAATATATCATTTTATCAAGTATTTGTTTTTGAATTGTAGAGCCATTATCTCAATGCTGTGGCCATTATTTATTAAGAAACAAAAACTATGGGGATGGGGATTTAGCTCAGTGGTTCCGGTGCCTGCCATGCAAGCCCAAGGACCTGAGTTCGATCCCTGGTACCAAAAAAAAAAAAAGAGACAAAAACTAGGGCCGGGGAGTTAGCTCAGTGGTTCCATCGCCTGCCTCGCAAGCGCAAGGACCCGAGTTCAATACCCAATACCAAAAAAGAGAAAGAAACAAAAACTACTACCAAATAGCATTTGATAACTCTAAAAGACATGTGACACAATAAAATCTATGTGAAGAATAAGATTTACTTAACAGAGGACAATCTCTAAAAATATATCCCCCCCACCTGGTACCAGGGATCAAACTCAGGACCTTGTACTTGTGAGGCAGGCACAGTGCCACTGAGCTACATGCCTGGTCCTACAGTTTTATTTTGAACAAAGGCATGGCAGTAGAATGAATGAATGAATATATATCTATATCTATCTATCTATTTATATCCCTAACTTTTGCAAACAATTTCTGAAGATTTATAAAAAGTTAGTGAAACATTTGCTTCTAGAAAAGGCAACTGAGAACTGGGGGACAAGGGCAGAAAAAAACTATACATCATTTACACCTTTTTATATCTCTTAAATCTTGAAACATGAATTTACTGCCTGATAAAATTCATTTAAAACTTAAAAAGCTAATGTATAGTCTTTTGTAATCTCTTAAAACATATATAGTGAAGAATTTCCACATGGAATATGATTTAGATTCATTTCAAAATAACTGGAGGTGGGGTAGTGGTCAGATATTAAAATGACACAGTTTATAAAATCAACAGTTGATAATTATCAAACCTGACTGATGGGTACATGAAAGTTCATTATACTTCTCTGGCACCTTGAGTTTGAAATTTTTTGTAACAAAAAGTTGTTTTAAAATATTAATGTAAAGCTGTAACAACAATGCTCAGAAAGCTAACTATGAAGATAAAAAGATATTGTCATGATTACAAAACATTCACAAATATTTACAAAAACATAGGCTTTTTTACTTATATTTTTCTTTATTCATCTGACAAAACTTTCAGAAAAGACGTATGAGCTATTATTAATACTTAAGTGCCAGGCTGAGTATTCTATAGACATCATCCCATCTGATGCTGAGTATCTGTGAATTAACTAGCATAATTTTAAAACAAACTAAACCCTGACATTTCTAGCATAATTGCATGGACTCCAAAGTCCACGCTCTGTAAGGAAGAATTTTAAAAGACTGAAAAGTTACAATTAATCTACAAACAGAATAATCAGCTGTTAGAGGACCAATGGGACACATATTTATATTTTAATGAGAAAATAGTATTTGGATTTTATAACATCTTCTAAGTAAGAGAATTATAAAGGTATAAATTGTTTTATATGAAAAAATTTTAAATCCTCACTAACTTGAAAACTACTATTAATGCTAAAACAGTGTCACACAAATTCTCACCTATTAGGCTCACATATTTCCTTTCTGTTATTAACTAAACAAAAACTATAAATTTCTTCCCCATAGTTTTGAAATTTAATTTTCTGGAAGAGAATTTGTCTGTGGTTTCAGACCATTTTAACTCCTACTTATCTACAAATATTTTTGTTTCTTGCCCTACACTTTCAAAAACTTAGATTATTTCTGAAGCCTAGGCTATATATTACTTGTCCTTTAATTTTAAAAAATCCTTTTAAATTGCACAAACAAGCATAAACATCAGTAAAAAAAGAATACATTTTTAAAAATCATGTATTTTATTCCTCCTTGTTATAAGAATATAAACAATTATAAAGAATAAGTGTTGAGTTATACAAACTGTGTTTTAGAATCGGCTAACACTAAGGGTCAAAGAATTAAAAGCAGTTTGTTTTCAAACCTACTAATATGTAAGACATACTTAAGAATGGCTCCAGCCTCTAAACTCCTGCTGTATTTGCTTCGTATCTCTGCAAATAGCACAAAATTACTGTGATTTCTCTGTTTAACATCTGACTACGAATCCCTCTATGGCAGGGTCTTTCAATTTCAAAGAGCAGCACAATATTGGCATGCGTAGGAACTCAATTATTTTTTGAGGAATTAAGAGAATGTAAAAAATATCCAAGAATTCCACAATGCTCTCAAATAGCAATTTCCTGGCTTTTAGAAGAATGGGGACACTCTGGTTTCAATTTTTGAATATAATAAATTGATGAGTTCACTGCCCATTTAGATTCCAGCAATATCATGATACCATGTACAGATTCCCATTAAAAAGCAAACAGAAGTCTGTTTCCTAAAACAGCAGAAATGATTCAGAAGAAAAAGCAAATATAAACTGAAAAGTTTTCAATTTTTAATGTACAGATAAGATATGGCATTACTTTAAGATACGTGGAGGCAAATATGCTAAGCTTATGTAGTTTGGAGGGCTTCAGAAACCTAGAGAGTGAGACTGAAGGTTATACATGCTTGCTCTAAAGTATCACATTTCTGCCTCTCATTGCTCACCAGACTTGTACAGTGCGATACTGTTTGTAAAAGGTTATATATAAGATAACTATGTATTTTCTCTTCATTTATCCAAACATTAAGAGCCTACTTTGAACCAAACACAGTAGGATGGACTGTGGATAACAGAATAAAAACATGCCCAGTATCCCCAAATAACCTTAATACAGAATTTTATAAATCAACCAGGGGCCAAGTACTGATTCACAAATTTGTGCAAACTAGTATCTGTTATGAGTGAATACAACCTCTTCTAATTTTCTACACTCTTTAACCAAAACCAAAAGATAGAAGTCCACATTAATGAAATTTCCCCTGGGAGTTATTTATAAAATGGCTCACTTTGGCCAAATTTGCAGGGAAAAAACATTCTTTGGCCAACAACTTGCATTTCACATTTTAACCTGAACTGAATGTATAATGAAAGGCAAATGGTCCATTATGGAAATGTTGACAGACTTACACCACCGGTGGATGCAACTACAACGATGCATTTATTGAAAATTAATGAAGTTCTGAATTTTTACTTATAAAGTGGATATTATTAGTTTTAGATTATTTTCTGCAAGCCAGTAGTCAAAATTTAATAAGATATGTACAGATTGTGATAATTTTCACTCTTATCCACTCCTTGCAGCCTATGTGCATTTAAACCAAAAAACATTTGATATATACTAACTATAAATTATTGCCTTGGAGATCTCTCAGGCATGAAGAAAAAGCCTCTTAAAATAAATTTAAAATATTATATGCTTGATGGTGTATAACCGAAGGTTTAATCTCACCACTAAAGGGGCAGTTACCATGATTCTGCAATAACCCTGCAGACAATAATCAAGACAGCTCCTGTTGTTCTCTCAGTAAAATCTTCGTAAACACAGCATGGATATATTGTAATTTGATATCTGTACGATCAACAGCTATACCCTATAACTCATAAGATTTTATTCACCATTAAATTGAGCATTTTCCTCAAAAGCAATAGAAAAGTATGTTATTTACCAAGCATTGTCTTATTAACTATAGATTAGAACATTAAAATAAATATGCTTTCTTTCGCACTAAAAAAGTAAGACCCATAAAGCAAGCTCCAAAATGGAGGGAATTAGTTACATCCTTCAAACTTTGGGAAAATGTATCTGTACTACACTTCCATTATTATTTTAGAACAACCAATCCCAATCAGTTTTCTACTACAAATATAAGAAATTGTCCCCAAACAGAGCTCTCTATGATCAGTTAGATTCAAAAATGTCTGTTTCCACTTCATAATGATATTAATATTATTCTAACTTTTTTAAAAAAGGAAAGGAAGAAAGAAGACAATTAGAATAAACACAAATGATGACACAACTTCAGGAAATTAGGGAACATGTTATTTAGAAAAGGATCAAAGACAATATAAATTTGTATCAAAAGCATTCAAAATGGAGATTACAGGAATTCAATTACTGGTTACACACACACACACACACACACACACACACACACCAGTACACACGTTATTAAAAGACAAGTAGATGACCCCATTAGTATTTCAGAAGTATAATAAAACCATCTTTCACTCACCAATGCTGGATTTTCTCTTGGCAGTTAGTGACCACCTGTCATGAAAGCAGATAACTACTCGTGAAAAAACAGGGCTATGCACAGAGCTACAAAATCAGTATATCAGAAAACTAGAACAGTGGCTTTACAGATTTAATAGCATCTCAGTATACATTTTTATTTGTCAAAGGCACAGAGATGTGAACGTTAGTTTTTAAGCAGCACACTTTATCATAACCCTCTAATGCAGGCTGATAACTGCAGAACAAATTACAGCTTTCCAATTCATACTTGGGTACAAAACCCTCTTCATAACTATTAGGTGACATATGATATAAGATAACTAGTATTTTGTACAATCTACAGACCTGTTTTCAATGTTACATATTTTGTAGAATACGCAAATGTTATAAATAACAAGAAACCAATGTAACATCCACATTCCATCAGTTAAAAAAAATAGTGGTGAAAATATTTTATTTTGTCAGTATATCTCCAAATGTTTTCACCTGTAATTTTTATTCTGATGTATTAAAAATGAGTTCAAAGAGATTTTTCTACTACATTTTCAAGAAGAAATACTTGGGCTAAAGAGATGCTCTGAACAGCTCATTTTTCTTCAGTGAACAATGATAAAATTTTAAGCACTTCATAGTCAATTTAAACTATTTTTATAACACTACAGCAATGAAATTAAGTAAAAAAAATTATTTGTTTTCCTTTGAAATATTTCAGTAGATTCTCAAAATGCTCAGAAAACTTATCAGCATTGGCAAATACAATGTAAAAAAAAAAATCACTTTCTGAATGGCAATTTTAAAATTAATACTATTTTCACAGATTACTGATCACTTATCACCCACTAATAAAATTTTTAAACAGTAATCTAGAACACCACAACACCATTTTAGAGACAGAGAAAGTAAGGGATAAAACCCAAAATGCCAAGGCCATATGAAAAAGACAGCAGTATGATCTGGTTCACAACACACTGCTCTAGTTTACTGTTCTAAATAGCAATATTGTCTCCTGTACAAGCTCGATGTTTCACCCAAAAAACACAAGATTTTTTTTTAGACCTGTCACTAAATTCCTCTATTATAACATTTAATTCCTGAAATAAATGTCCTCCTTTGGGACATTTTAAATACTAAGGCAGCAATCCTGCACCAAAATACATGCTGTAATCAGATACCCAACCATACTACACATTAACTCAGCATAAAAAGTCTGCTTTAGAATGAAGATCTCTCAGTAAGTATCAATCACATAGCAACACTTAATAACAGTGGTAATATATAATAGAGTAGTGACTACATCTGGAAGAGCCAAGCTAAAACTACATCAATCTATTTCACTGTTTCTGATTTAGCAGTAATTATGAAATAGACAAATAGAATTAAACGTAAATTGAAAAAGAAAAAAAGCTTCATGAAATCCTTTTCATAAAGTTCCCATTTAACAACCCCATTAAAAGATGAGACCCAAAAACAGTCAGGATGTTTTCCAATCCCAATGCCTGTGTTTCCAAGCATGAAGTGAGCCAAAAGCACAAAAAGAAAAGCCCTGCAAACCATAAGAGCAGAATGTTCATTAACCTCTACATGATAATCCTTTCGTAGCTGCATATTAACTAGTTACATATTCATAATCATTTACATTATTTAAAGGACCTTCAATGAAATCTTCTAGGCTATATCCATTAGTGACAGTGTTAAAGGTTATAGAAGATAGTCTACTTAATGTTTCCAGGAAGGCTTTTTAATTAGTAAATATGTAAATCTGGCACAAATGCATTTTATGTTTAAAAATAAGTCACTGGTAGAATGGCATGGGTTCTTGCCATCACCCCAGTCCAACCTCTACTTTGTTCTAGTCATGTTCCCCCATTCCTCACCCTTTTTCTTTCCTAAAATAGTCTCCTTTGCCATATTCAAGGATAAACCAACAACAAAAATCCATTTCATAATTTACAACCGAAAATTTTCACTACCAAAACACTGCTTTATATTCAATGCCTTTATTGGTTACATATAGCACTTAAGACAACAGACACTCGAGGGTCTCAAGTAGACTCAAGAAGTGCTATTCTGAAAATCAGAAATAAAGGAAAAGATAAAAGAAACAGATATGGAAATGTGTAGAATAACCTTCCAATGATGTGTCTACTGTTATTTGTGTTTATAGTATTTATGATTCACTTACTTCCAAAAAAACATTTAAACCCAAGCACTTGTATTTATATATTAAGATGCTTTTAACTTAACTGGCAAAGAAATTTTTAGAAGGGAGAACATTATATGAATCAAATTTTAATGTACCTGGTAAAGAGGGGACAAAGAAACCCTTATTTTTCTGTGAAGTTAACCTCAAATAATCTTGTTTTCTGACTGAAAACTGAGGATTAATTCCTTTAAGTGTTAAATGAAGTGACTGTGAAACAGTGGCTCTACAAGCAACTCCTGAAAAAGAAAACAAGAGTATTTTATCACTTTGTTGACCTCCACAAAAGTAAGATTGCTGTGGAGCAGCAATACTAGTTTTGATTTGTTTAAGATAAATCTGTTAAAAAAAATAAATCTATTAAAATCTACAAAAGTTATTCCTTTTAAAAAATTCATTTTTATAAAGTCTATAACTAGACTTCTACTATTAAAATAAATGACCTAGGAAATTCTTTAATATGACTATACTTAGTGTCAAGAAATTATAAATAAAATATGTATTCATATAGTAGTATAGCTGTTAAGTCCACAGTAAAGAAAAAGAGCTATAACCTGATTTTGCACTTTTTCTTTTCTTTTTTTTTTTTGGTACTGGGAATCGAATTCAGGACCTTAAGCTTGCCAGGCAGGCGCTGTGCTGCTGAGCTAAATCCCAGGGACGCTGATTTAGCATTTTTTTAAGATACAGACTATCATTAACGGTGTTTACCAACAACCCAATAGCTACAAAATCATATGGTATACTTTATTAACTCAAAACTGGCCTTAACCTAAGATTTGTAACACTAGTGGTATAAGCGAAGCCTTTATATGATGAAAATCAATATGCAAACATTTCAGTGAATTAGGTTTTAACCTCTAATTTTGAAGAGAGAAAGTAACGTACTCAAAATTATACAATAGTCCAAGATCTGGGTAGTTTTACCTAGGTCTATCAAATACCAAAGCCCTTATTCCCTTGTATTTGGACTGTTTTCAACCATATAATTTACTGCACAACAAGAAAAGCTGATTACATCTACAATCTCTCTTAAAATATTGTTGCTATGTTCTCCTCAACCTTTTCCAATACAACACTCATATACAAATAAGACCTGGCCAATAATGAAAGCAACTAAGCTTAAATTCACCTATTCATTAGTATGAATTCTTATTTCTTTCACTGCTTCATACCACTCCACACCATTTCAGATCAACTAAGCCTAACAAATTTCCCAAGCACCAGTTACACATGTGCATGCATGTGTGTGCGCGCACGCACATGTGTGTGTGTGTGTTTGGGGGGAGGTTGGGAAGGTAACGGGCTAACCTCATAACAGCTAACACATCTCATCACATTTATTTTTTGTACCAGGGATCGAATTCAGGGCCTTGCGCTTGCAAGGCAGGCGCAGAACCACTGAGCAACATCCCCGGCCTCTCATCACATTTTTAAGACACTTTTGACAATAATCAAATTAATGCTCAGGATGACTATGATGGACAATCCACCCAACAACCTATTTTTCTGTACATCAGTGTCCAGATAACATATTGCTAAAAAGCTAAAATTATGTTTGGCAAATTTTAATAAGGTCTAAGGTGAATAAATTATATGGAGAGCAAGAATAATTCCTTGGCTGGTTTGCCTCAGAAGTTGCTTTCTAAAAAGTATTTTATAAACAATGATGAATAGTTTAATATACAATAAGATCTCCAGTACTTATTTTTGTGCTATTTATTTTGGTAACAGACCACAAGGGGGCATCAACCTATGTGTTTTCCAAGTTAAATATAGTGCAACATTAAAACTAGACTGAAATACAAAGCCTAAAAGGGTAAGTTTGCTTCTTGAATCTTGATACTTGTCACTGAAATGCTTCATTTCATTTCTAAAACTCTTCTCACTGTACTACACTTTCAAATTCTTTCATTATGGGTTAATGTATAAGTTTGAAAAATGTACTCATCAAAGCTGTCGAAATGTATATAATCTACTTCTCTTATCAGACCACATCTTCAAGATATCTTACAATTTTTGGTTTTAAAGCTGCTGAGTCAAAAAAGGAAAAAGCATCAGTGAAAGCTAAAGCCAGTAGACAGTAGGCAAGCACCATTAACCTTATATTTACCTAAAGGGTGAAAATAATTTTGTTTAAGAAGTAAAGAGTGTTAATTAAGGAGATATGTAACATGTCACTACCAAAGAATGCAAGAAAGGTACTTTCAACAAAGTCAGTAAAAATTACAAATCTTTTAAATAAACTCTTCTGCAAAATAGGAAGGAAATGATTACAGGTTCCTAACAGAAAATATGCTATAAGCAGCAGATGAACTGCAATAAACCAAGTGCTACTGTATTAAAAACCACCACAGGGCCGGGGACTCAGCTCAGTGGTTCCGCCACCTGCTCCGCAAGCACAAGGTCCCAAGTTCGATGCCCAGTACAAAAAAAAAAAAACACCACAAAAGTTAAGAAAGCCACTTCAATTTTAAACAAATTCATGTTCTAAATATACTGAAAAGCAAAACTGCTACTACTAAATACTAACTCCAATTATACAGAAGCATTTCTTTAAAATATTTACATGTTCTTTTTAAAATTAGCTGAGATAAAATCAAAATGATCATTAGCCCATTTTCTCTACACAAGCTTTCAAGGCATTCTCTCAGTATTCTAATCTTGCCTCTTTTTACACAAATATTGGACTATGTCTGACATGCTTTTTGTACTGTCCATTTCATTCCACTGTAAATTTTACCTACAAATTAGGGTTATTTTTTCTTTCAGTATTTATTACTTAAAATCCCAAGTGTTCTAATTATATACAGTTTTCTCCCAGTGGAAATTT